CATGAATTTTCTTACAATATCCCTGTTAAGATACACAGGCCTGATCTTACTTAAGATCTTACATGAATTTTCTTACAATATCCCTGTTAAGATACACAGGCCTGATCTTACTTAAGATCTTACATGAATTTTCTTACAATATCCCTGTTAAGATACACAGGCCTGATCTTACTTAAGATCTTACATGAATTTTCTTACAATATCCCTGTTAAGATACACAGGCCTGATCTTACTTAAGATCTTACATAAATTTTCTTACAATATCCCTGTTAAGATACACAGGCCTGATCTTACTTAAGATCTTACATGAATTTTCTTACAATATCCCTGTTAAGATACACAGGCCTGATCTTACTTAAGATCTTACATGAATTTTCTTACAATATCCCTGTTAAGATACACAGGCCTGATCTTACTTAAGATCTTACATAAATTTTCTTACAATATTCCTGTTAAGATACACAGGCCTGATCTTACTTAAGATCTTACGTAAATTATCTTACAATATTCCTGTTAAGATACACAGGCCTGATCTTACTTAAGATCTTACATGAATTTTCTTACAATATCCCTGTTAAGATACACAGGCCTGATCTTACTTAAGATCTCACATGAATTTTCTTACAATATCCCTGTTAAGATACACAGGCCTGATCTTACTTAAGATCTTACATGAATTTTCTTACAATATTCCTGTGAAGATACCCAGGCATTATCTTACTTGAGATCTTATGTAAAGCTCTTACAATAATCATTGATAAGATGACCTTACATATGATCTTGCATGAATTTTTTTATGCATCACAAAATCTCAATTAAAAGATTTTACAAATCACATACAGGTAACATACAGGTAAAATCTTGCACAAGAGCTTACATGTAAAATCTTGTAAATTTTGATTTGACAAGATCTAACACGTGATTTGACATGTCACTACAAGCATAGCAGGTAAGCTCTTATATACAATCTTACATGTGTACATAGAATGAGCAAGAGCACATAATTACAAAAAACAAAATGATTAATATTATTTTTAGTGAACTTCAAAAGTATTAGGCAATGGAATACAAAATTTTTTTGAGTTTTTAATTTCAACGAGAACACATTTTCTACAGAGTTTTTCTACAAGTATGGCAACTATTTCTGTAGTTACATGAACTTCAATAATTTGCCTTTGTAGTAGAGAATGGACATTAAGTTGTCGTATAGTAGAACTCCGTGGAGGTCGAAGGTGACTAATTGGTGAACTATTGGTTAATCGATAATTTTTTATAAGACAGAAGGGAATGTTTTCTGCTGTCAAAAAGAAAGATTGAATTTGTCCTATTTGCAGTGAATCATTGTTATCGCGATACAAACACATACAGTTGTTTCTTGACTTGCTGTTACCAGTTTTTGTACTATAGTATAATGCATTCCTCAGCATTAGAGTATTAAATTGTAGTACATTCCTAGTTGTGCTAATGTTTCCACGCAATGTGACTGCCATTTCATCTGCCATAAGAGAATGTGCATTTGTTTTACCAACGACATAGCAGCCTTCAAAAACTTTAGTGAATGCTTTTTTATTTTGGGATAGTAGTTGTTTAACGTACTCTTGGGTTTGCTCACTTTCTAATTTACTCAAACTTTCCAATTTTTTAGGTACTGTTTGCAGTAACTGTATTTGAAAACTCATTTGAAAGAGAATTCTTCTTGTCCCATGATACGTTTTTCCCAGGTATCCATTTAAATTCTCAAATCCAAACATTGAATATCCCCAAAGTGGCCCCCATATCTGAACAAATGGCACTGTATGAATGAGCGAGTGCATATTAGCAGTATACATATTTAGTGAATATAATTCTCCAGATAACTGATAAAATGTGGCTAACATTTGATGGACTAATTCTAATTCATCTCTTCTGATTTCATCAGATAGTAAAATATGAAATGATGCAACAAGTAATGAAAGATGATGAACATATTCTGGAGGTAGAAAATTTGACAAAACAGGGAGGGCATAAATGAGCAACCAAGCTCGGTATTCCGAGGCTTTAAAAAATGAAAGAGAATCTAGTGATCGTGGGAACCGCTGAATCTCATTAGCTGGTTTGATGCTTAAGACCAATTTGTCAATGTCGCGAACATACTTTCTCAAACTGAAAGGTTGAGAGTGATGCTTTTGGTCAAACCATTGCCTCATAAGCTGCTTGAAAACACCTTCTAATGTAGAATGCATGTAATCAATCGGAATACATTCTGGAATTTCTAAATAGTTGCTTAGAATGCAATTTCCCTTCACACCGTAGTGGGGTTCTCCAGTACTTGTGGCTAATTCTGCCCATTCCTTCATTCGAATGTGATTTCGCAATTCAGACATATTTGGGCGATAAATGCGTGCTTTATTACAAATCTCTCCCTTTTCAACGCAATACAAGCATCCAAATTCCCCATTAAACTGCTTTGTGTTGGTGGCACTAGATTTAGCTGGGAGATCAAAAACAGCCATTAGCAATTTAGCTCTCAACACAACATTAGATGAGTAGGCGACCCCAGTAGTTTCAAGGCTTGCAACACTATTAAGAACAAACTCAAGAATTAGGTCCATATTTGGTTTAGTAGGACCATGCCACAGTGCTGCAATTATCAAATTATCAACCTTCATGCGTTTCTGTGGTGGTATGCTTGTTACCATAAGATATATAGGCCATAAACTTCCTTTAGAAGACTTGAAAACTGGCACACCATCGGAACACAAAGCAAGACCTGTATTTTCTTGAACTGATAAAAACCCATCTGCCGACATCAGTTGTTGAATGGTGCTTCCATCATGGATATCTTTGATAGTAACTTCATCTTTAAGTCGAGTAAATGGATAACTAAATTTGTCATGTTCTTCTACAAAAAAAAAGTTAAAATAATATTATACTCATTGAAAATTTTTAAAAGTACCATATAATTGCTTTATACGATCTTCAATAGAAAAAAGTGCAAAATCACAAACTTGAGCTTTGTTCTTGACGCAAAGCCTATTTGAACATGACTTTTCCTCTTTCTGCAAACTTCTAGTGCACGAAGAGCAGAATTGCACCATTGTTTGCTTACTTAAAGATTCAAAATATTTTTTGAATTGATAAAAACTTTTTGGGCAACCGTTTGGTGTGGCTGGACAATGAGCCTATAGATAAACAAGTCATTAAAATATTAACATCAATTAGATTATACCTTTATTAATGTAATGAGGTCATTCATTGCTTTGTAAGTTAATCTGTTAGCTATAGCAAAATGCATCATTGCATACCAACTAGTGCTGGTAGATATAGAACTTCCATCATAAAGATTTGCCTTGAAAGAATGATCTAAAAGAAGAAAGTAAAAATTAATTGTTTTCATAGTAATTAAATGATACCTTTTTCGCTACTTTCAGAAATTTCATCGTTCTCGTCATCACTGGAAAATTCACTATTTTCAAGGTACTCAATTTCGTCACCTGCATCAGTATCGCCAACTTCAGTATCATCACCTTCAATTTCATCACCATCAATGTCATCACTGCTTAAGTTCTTGCATCCCCTATTTGCATCATCAACGTTCTTTTCTTGATTTCCAATATCACATCTACTCGCTTCTTGAATTTCTTTATCATCATTGTCAACAGCACTTTCTTGAGGTGTCTTGCAAATAACAAAATCTTCACTGAGAGTTTCTGCTTCCTCACATACTCTGTCACTATCATTTCTGTTACTATCACTCCA